TCAGTTTACTTTGCTGGAAATTAACTCTTATTTCACAGAAGCTATAACATTTCTACCCATGTTAGAGGCTCGTCAGTTCGACTATTTCTTCTTCAAGAACACAGAATACATTTTGAAAGAAATATACTGACCGTTCTGCTGAAATAGTTCAAACTATTTGAACTGGCACAAACAGTAAAAATGAATAAATTAGTAACAAATAAAATAAAAAAACAATAATATTCATAGCTTAGAAATTTACAATAAGTGCATTTTCACGCACTCAATAATCCAATTATAATATATAATTGTATATATTAATCGGATTTCTGCAGTTATCTGATTATTCAAATGGTCATGTAAACAGCACACTCTGATTTCCTAGATCAGAGAAATCTGATTGATAAATCTGATACAGAGGCTGGATTTTAGCTCAGTAATCAGATTTCTCAGTGCATGTAAACTCTTACTCTGATTTCTTTCGGATTTCTCAGTCTGAGCATGTATGAAAACAGACAGCGGTACCGGAAATAGGCGAGCAGCGTCGCCATGAGACGCAGCAGAACACTTTTAAAGTAACACTGAAACCAAATACATTCTTAACAAAATGAAGGATTTAAATATTCTTCATCATCTAGATGAAGTATGATTTTTTAAAAAGCCACTCCTGACATTTGAGTTTTACGTGACGTTTACGTTGTATCTTCTTCTTCTTGTCCAAATTATTAAAAACGACAGAGAAAATCCTAACAACCACCTGGAAGACCTGGTAGACACCAAAGCTGCCCCAAAGCTGAGAAGACAACTCAGCGCTGTGGGTCTGAAAGGATGTGTAGCTGTTCAAGAAGAACCTCACTGAGAAAAGGAGACGGACACATCAAACAAAGAAGCTGAACAATGGACTGACCACCCCAGAGTCCAGACCTCAACACCACTGAATGTGTTTGATTACTTCAGTCATGATCAACCAGCTTCTAAGACCGAACTTTGGAGGTGTGTCTGCAGATTCTTTGAGGAACTGAAAGTGAGTCTCCTGAAAAGAATGGAAGCTGGAATGAAGGTAAAGAGTGACTCACTGACAGTCAGACAGCTGAGAGTAGATTTAGCTGTTAAGGCTTCTGTGTTCTGCTTTTTGTCCTGACACTGAAAATGGAACAACTTGTAATTAATGGCTGTTTTGAATGGAAATTAAAGAAATGAAGGGTGGTCTCTGACTTTTGCACATCACTGAATAACACTAACACTGCTGATATTCATTTATGTTATTTATTTAAGTGGTAATGCACACATATGAATCAAGTCAGTTCAGTATGTTTTCGGAGCAGAAATAATTCTGGCACTAATAAACGAGTAAATAGCAAGTTTTCCCTTCACTGTAAAAAGATTTTAAACTCTTCCTGGAGTATTTTCTGTAAGAAATAACTGATACAGTTATATAACTTATACAGTTCTTCCTTTTCTTCGAGGTTATCACATCTGTTCTGTCCCATTGTGGAACAAAACGAGTGTGATGAATCATCTGCCACCAGAAAAAATGACTAATCAATATTACTTAAGCACATTTACCAGACTTGTATTGCTTCGTAAGCAAATAATTACATTCACACGCCCTGAGAAATGCCGTGTGTGGGTTGGAGTCTGATATTGAAAGCGTTTTGACTCTTATTAATCTTTTACACAAAACATTGTTTATGCCTCAGGCTTAAACGGGAACTCTCGAAATTTCTAATTAAATGATTAAGATGTAAACAAAGTCAGTCAGAGTCTTTGGCTGAAATGCTCAGTTGTAGAGAAATGAACTGAGTCACAGTGGTTATGATGGGAACCAGACGTCTGAGTTTAAAGCCTTGAAAAGCTTCTTTACAGAAAGTTATTGCAAGAAATGGTTATGAATTCTCGTCCGGCTGTCTGACACAATGTTTTTATGATAATCTTGGTCTAAAACCTAATTTTAAAATGTGCAAAGTAATGAGGGCACGTGCAGGATGTTGTGAGGCAACAGAAACCCGAAAGAAAACTTATTATTTTCAGATTTTCCTCTATTTTACCATCATCAACATCACATATAAACTCAGAAGACTCGTGTAGGTTCACTGGTGGTTCTGGATAGTAAATAAAATGTCTATGTTTGTGTTGATCTATCTATCTATCTATCTATCTATCTATCTATCTATGTATTTCTATTTTCATCCACCTCTATCTATCTATCTATCTATCTATCTATCTATCTATCTATCTATGTATTTCTATTTTCATCCACCTCTATCTATCTATCTATCTATCTATCTATGTATTTCTATTTTCATCCACTTCTATCTATCTATCTATCTATCTATCTATCTATCTATCTATCTATTTTCATCCACCTCTATCTATCTATCTATCTATCTATCTATCTATCTATCTATCTATCTATCTATCTATCTATCTATCTATTTTCATCCACCTCTATCTATCTATCTATCTATTTAAGGGATAAAGAGAGGATGAAAATGTGGAATACAGGTCCTTTGAAGTAGAAACTGCCATCAGTGAATTTTGCCCCACTTCAGAAATCAAGACCCTCTGAGTTCATTTGAAACTCATAAGCTGCTGAAAGCCTGTGAATGAAAAACACTTCAGACGCTTTCCTGACACTTTCTGATTAAACCGTCAGAGCCGCAACTCCGCAGATCCTTCAGTGAGAACAGAGAAACACTTAGCAACAGCATGTGTTAGCTTCTTGACCACAGATTTAGTTGGCTCTCATCCACGGCAGATGGAAGCAGTATTTCTATCCCCCCCCAAGGTTGCGACATCTAGCGGGTAATCGTTTGAGAGGGAGCTCGTCTGTTGTGATGTTTCTGACTTGTAATGAATTAGCTATAAACAGTGAGGCTCAGACTGCTGCCTAATTGAAGACAGAGATGTTCTAGCATCATCTCATGGTTTTATTTTCACATCAGTAATCCTTTAAAGCCACGGGGGGCCATAATGGGCCCAAGAGCTTATGCCTCCACCATATGCAGTGGTGCCAATTCAGCTTCATTCAATTTCCAACAGACACTGTCCCGAAGCAGAATTACAGAAATGTGTGTCCAGCCTCCTAATAAGCATCGGCAAGGGAGACCGTCAGGAAAAACTCTGTAAAAGCATGAGGAAGAACCACTGAGAGGAACCAAGACTCGAAAAGAGAAACTCGCTAAGAGAATGAGGAAGAACCTCAGACAGGAACCGAGAATAAAAAGGAGAAACTCCCTGAGACATGAGGAAGAACCCCTCAGAGCAACCAATATTAAGCAGCAAAACCCTCTTGAGGACATGAGGAAGAACCACTGAGAGGAACCAAAACTCAAAAAGAGCAACTGCCTGAGAGCATGAGGAAGAACCCCTGAGAGGAACCAACACTCTAAAGAAGAAACTCCTTAAGAGAATGAGGAAGAACCCCTGAGAGGAACCAAGACTCAAAAGGAGAAACTCCCAAGAGCATGAGGAAGAACCACTGAGAGGAACCAAGACTCAAAAGGAGAAACTCCTTAAGAGAATGAGGAAGAACCCCTGAGAGGAACCAAGACTCAAAAGGAGAAACTCCTTAAGAGAATGAGGAAGAACCCCTGAGAGGAACCAAGACTCAAAAGGAGAAACTCCTTAAGAGAATGAGGAAGAACCCCTGAGAGGAACCAAGACTCAAAAGGAGAAACTCCTTAAGAGAATGAGGAAGAACCCCTGAGAGGAACCAAGACTCAAAAGGAGAAATTCCCAAGAACATGAGGAAGAACCACTAAGAGGAACCAAGACTCAAAAGGAGAAACTCCCAAGAGCATGAGGAAGAACCACTGAGAGGAACCAAGACTCAAAAGGAGAAATTCCCAAGAACATGAGGAAGAACCTCTGAGAGGAACCAAGACTCAAAAGGAGAAACTCCCAAGAGCATGAGGAAGAACCAGTGAGACGAACCAAGACTCTAAAGAAGAAACTCCTTAAGAGAATGAGGAAGAACCACTGAGAGGAACCAAGACTCAAAAGGAGAAACAGTTCATGGAATCAGTTAAGGAGTTATGATACAAGTTAAGTTGTGAAAAAAGTTATGGCAGCAGTTCTGGATTTTGGTGCAGTTATGATCAAGTTACATAATAAGTCCTAGAGTGATGATATAAGTGATGGTATGACACAAGAGGAGTTATGCTACAGCCTGAAGTACGAGTTCTGGAATTAGGACAAGTTAAGGAGCAAGTTCAGTGTTTATAATGCACTCTTTAAAAAGATGGTTCTTCAAGCATTCTTTGGTAAAGGGTATGGTTCTATTTAGAGCTGTTTAGAGCAACTTCATCCTTAAATGGTTCTTTGCATGGTGAAATCGTTCTTCAGAGTGATGGAGAGTGTGCTGTATATGGTTCTATTAAGCACCAAAAGAATTCTGCTGTTTCTATCTATCTATCTATCTATCTATCTGTCTGTCTGTCTGTCTGTCTGTATCCTTCTGTCCTTCCATCTGTCCATCTGTCCATCTATCTAACCGTCTATCTATCTATCTATTGGTCCTTCTATCTATCTATCTATCTATCTATCTATCTATCTATCTATCTATCTATCTGTCTGTCTGTCTGTCTATCTATCTATTGGTCCTTCTGTCTGTCTGTCTATCTATCTATCTATCTGTCTGTCTGTCTGTCTGTCTATCTATCTATCTATCCTTCTGTCCTTCCATCTGTCCAACTATCTACCCATCTATCTATCTATCTATTGGTCCTTCTGTCTATCTATCTATCTATCTATCGGTCCTATTATTCCAGCATAACTCTTTTCTTTCCCTGGTCCTTGTAAGACTCTAGCAGTTCTAGTAAGACTTAAGTTCCACTTCGCGGTGAGTGGAGCGTTCAGGAGACCGTGCGAGCGCACCTACCTGCGCGTGCTGGGAGCGAGCGCGTGCGACTGTGCCTGTGTGTGTGTGTGTGTGCGTGTGTGTGACGCAGAGGTGGGCTGGCAGAGTTGAGTGTGTGTGTGCTGCAGTGTTGATGAATCCTCAGCAGAAGCGCTTCAGCCTCTCCACAGCGATGTACAGCAACTCCGCGCGCAGCACGCTCTCACTCACACGCGCTCGCTCACTCACGCACTCACAGGTAAAGCGGCGGCAGCAGAAGCAGCAGGGTCCACCTGAGCTCCGTGGATGAGGCTCTCTCTCTCCCTCTCTCTCTCTCTCTCTCTCTCTCTCTCTTTCTCTCTCTCTCTCTCTCTCCCTCTCCCTCTCTCTCTCTCTCTCCCTCTCTCTCTCTGGACAGCTAAAGTCCAGCTCCGATCCAAAAGGCAGCCGTAGAGCGCGCGCGTGAGAGCGCGAGGGAGTGTGTGTGAGTGAGTGTGTGTGTCGACTTGAAACTCTCTTCAGGATGGAGCTCCTGTCTCTGCGTCTCCTCGCGCTCTGGATGGTCGCCTCGGTTCTCACTCAAAGGTAAGAGCTCTCTAACTTCAGCCTGTTGTAGCGCTGAGTTGTCCGGGTTAGTGCTGGGCAGGTATATCGCTCCTAACGCCGTACCGGTATTACCGTCTTTCAACGGTACTGATTTTACATTTTTATCGGTTTTAACAATAATAACGGTAATTAAGCAATGTTTTCTTTGCATAACATAAATTAAACATTTACGAAGTTGTTGCGCAGTGTACACTCTTCAAAAGGAGGTTCTTTAATTTAAAAAAAGGTGCCACAAATGGTTCTTTGAGCGATGCCGCAGTAGAACCACTTTGCAAATTAAATACACGAGTCTTCTAAAGTCTTCGTTCAGTTTAAAGGTTCTTCCTACAAGACTGGCATTGCATGGAGGCTCTTCGAGCTTCACATTCACTCATCTGATTTTTTAAAGAAAGATCCATTGAGTGGTTCTTTAAGGGTTCTGTAGTAAAGGAACAGTTCTATTTTTAACCTTGAGTCCTGTACAGATCCGTTTGCATGCTTAAATGGTCCTTTGCATAGTGAAATAGTTCTTCAGATTGATGAGGAATGTATCATATATGGTTCTATGTGGCTCTGACATTGTAACAATAGAAGAACCTTTTTGGTGCTATATAGAACCATTTTTTTAACACATTCTCCATCAACCTGAAGAACAATTTCACCATGCAAAGAACCATTTAAGCATGCAAATGGTTCTATACAGATCTCATTCATTGCACACAGAACGCTTTATTTTTGAGTCAATGTAGAACCCATGAGAACCATGAGAATAGACTATTTGAATGCATGATTGAGTGGTTCTCCGTGATGCAAAACCTGTTGTACTGTTTTATATAGCTCCAAAAAGGTTCTGCTATTTTTTATACTATATAGAACCCTTTTAAAAATATTTGCTACAGTGAAAAGTTCTGTTTGGACTGAATACTTCAAACAAAATAAGCAATGTCAGGTTTGTAAGACTTTTGCTTAGCAAAAAGCGTTCTATACAGAACCAAATTAAGGTTCTAGAAGCCCTTTTTGGTGGTTTAGAAGCATTCTTTGAAAAACAAGTGTACCATTAAAGATTTTAGGTTTATCTATGCAAAGAACCACTTATGCATTCAGTAAATGCAATGACTGAACGGTTCTCTGTGATGCAAAACCTGTTGCACCGTTTTTAAATGGTTCTACAAAGCTCCAAAAAGGGCTCTGCTATTGTTCCAAGTCTTTTTATACTATAAAGAACCCTTTAAAAAATGTTTGCTACAGTGCAAAGTTCTGCTGGGACTGAATAATTCAAACAAAATAACCTGTCAGGTTTGTAAGACTTTTGTTTAGCAAAAAGTGTTCTATATAGTACCAATTTAAGGTTCTAGAAGCCCTTTTTGGGTTTTGAAAAAGAGGTTTACAATCAAATATTTCAGATTTTACCAAAGAAAAACCTATGCATTCAGATGCTTCTTTGAGCTGCCAGGGTTCTACATGTAACCATTGTTTTTACTAAAGAACCGTTGAAGAACCCCTTTTTTAAAGCTGTAGACCGCTGGATCAACTTTATGAAAACGAACTCAAGTATCTGACAGATTTGGAAAACACAGTGATATTAAATTCTATAAAAACTCCTTCTGAATGACTCCGGCTCGCCGCTGTATAACCGTCCTCGAAGCTGATCTGCTTGTTTGATAAACAGGTTTAGTGACTCTCTTCATAAACTCATGCTAAATAAACTCTCTCCCCTTTTCTAACCACAAGAAAACAAACTCTTGGCCTCGCACGGAACGAGCGAAGCTGCCTTTTAATGCACGTTACAGACGCTGAAGTTGATTAAAACTTCTTTTTGTGGTTGGCCCTGGTGTCAGATGTTGCTTCTGAGTGGAATTAAACCAGCTTTTGACCACATGAAGTAGTTTTGATTTGAAAGAACCTTGTTTTTACAGTGTAGATCACTGATCTCTCTCAGAGCAATGAACTATTTGTGGAGATTAAGATCAATTCAGACTCTCTGTGGTGGCTTCAGCTTGAGCGTGTGAAGTGTAAACACACAAAAGTTTAGAAGGTGTTTAAAACGCACGTTTTGGAGCGACTGTAACTGCGACTGCCTCAGCGGCGGCTGGATTTGTCTGCAGGGCATATGCGCTACTGTAACAGAGAAACAGTTTCAGGTGTGCTTGGCATGCATTTCCTTAATGCCACCTCTTTTTGTTCTCTAATTTGACGGAACTGCGTGTTCTGTCCTTTGTAAATGAAGCAGATGAGCTGTCGCCAACTTTTTCGTGCCAAATTCATTAGACTGCTGTCAGCTCTGGTCCCTCATCTCGCCTGATCTATGATCTCTGCTCGTAACAGGGTTTTGCAAGTGTTTGCGTTTGTGTTTCGGTGAATGGAAAAGTGATGTTTGTTAACTCGTCTCGCTGTAAAGCCGTAAGGCTGGTTGCCTTTTAATGCTAAATTGACAGAAACAGAAACAGAAACAGTTTACTAGCCGAGTGCACCTGCATTTTGCATGTATGTGGAATCTGTGGTGGTTATGTAAATAAAAGAAACAAAAGGGTAAACAAGTAAATATGAACACAGTACCACAAATAAACAAAACATACAAATCTCCAGTATGTAAACTGAATGTATATAATATTTTCTACAGTATAGATTATGTGGGATGTGACTGACAGGCACTTTGAAAGAAATGATGCATTGAAATTTGCTTGAACTCCCAATAATAAAATGCATAATATCAACACAGTTACTGTCATTTTCGATATTTGTCATTATTGTGATTAATTGCATCATAATATACCTTTCAGAGTATTTCACGGACACTGTCAGTACTTAAAGAACTATGTTTCGTTCCGAAGAAAAAAGTGGTACAAAGGGTTCCCTAAAGAACCACGTTTTTTGAAAAATGTGCCTGAACCTTTCGCATAATGCAAAGGTTCCTTCACCAGTTTAAAAGTTCTTCCTGGAACTTTTACATCAAATAGAGGTTCTTTAAAGTTTGTATAAGGTTCTTAGCAGTTACACACCTTATTTACAAAAATGGATCTCCAAAGAACCATCCAGAAAAGTTCTTTAGGGAACCAAAAGTGGCGCCTTAATTTTTAAAAGTGTGTGATGAATTTGTGGTGCATAATAAGCAATCATATAACAAAATGTATACATATATAAATTTTATATATATATATATATATATATATATATATATATATATATATATATATATATATATATATATATATATAAATTTTGTTATATGATTGTTTAAAATGCACAATCATTTAATCACATACACAAGCAGTAAACTATTATGTAGGACATTTATGACAGTATACAGTTGTATGCAGAGGTTCCACACGTTTTGTTAATTTTCTTAGTCTCCTCTACAGAGAACACACTTAAATACAGCATTATTTCAAATTTTAGCGCATAATTTCTATTTATTTACTGAGTTTAATCATGTTCCAATACTAAAATGTGCAGACGTTTGTTCTCTGTGAAGGATAGTTTGTCCAGGATGCTCAAAACTTTTGCATGTGACTGTAGATCGTGTGGGATATGACAAACAGGTACACTGAAAACTGATTAAATGTATTTCATTGAAACGTATATTTTATTGTGATAAAAATGATTGTTTTGATTGTATTTCAAAAGCAGCCGCACGTTTTTATCTGTAGAAATGTCTAAACATTGTGATGCCTCTAAAGATCATGGTGCACATCATGTTTTGGGAAAAGGTCAGTTGCAAAAATTACACATTGTAAAATTATTGCAAAATTATATTTTTTTGCCCAACACTCAAAAAATGATGGTTCTTCAAGGGTTCTTTAGTAAAGACAATGGGTTTATATAGAACCACGAACACCCCATGAACCCTTTGCATGATTATTTATTTTTATTTTTATTTTTTTATTTTTTTGCATGTGAAATGGTTCTTCAGATTATTGGAGACATTTTTGTATGTGGTTCTTTATAGCATCAAAAAGGGTTCTGTTATTGTTACAAGCTTGACATTATAAAGAGAGCAGAATCCTTTCTGGTGCTAAATAGAACCATAAAAACACATTCTTCATCAATCTTTATCAATCTGAAGAACACTTTACCATGCAAAGAACTATTTAAGCTGGCAAAGGGTTCTTTGATTGCTCATGGTTCTATCTAGAAACACTGTTTTTACTAAAGAACCCTGGTAGAACCTTTTTTTTAAGTGTGTACTCCTTGAAATGCATGTTCTATGTAACATGTAATTGCTGTCAGACCAAAATCTTGTATCTCCAGTTTTGTTTTTATTATTATATTTTTTTTTTACATAGAAAATGACAATAGGTACAGTTTCACAATGAATGGACCAATAGAAACAGTCCAACATTCCATTGTTTTATTAATTTCCATTCAAACTTTAGAAAGTTTTCTGACAAAGTTTCAACAGTGCTGATATTTTATTAAATTTAGTGCATTATTTTTCAGCACAATCTGGGTTTGTATTGTTGTGGGAGTCGTTTTGCCAGTCTGTCTGTTGATCTGTCCGTCTGTCTGTGTGTGTTTATCTTGTTTAGGGCAGATTCCAATGAGATTTTGGGGCTGAAGATTCCTTTTGACCCCATTCTCAACGCCAACACCGTATGCTTGACCCTGCCGGGGCTGACACGGAAGCAGCTGGACGTATGCATGCGGAACCCAGACGTAACGGCGTCGGCCATCCAGGGCATCCAGATTGCCATCCACGAGTGCCAGCACCAGTTCAGGGGCCATCGCTGGAACTGCTCCAGCTTAGAGACCAGAAATAAAATCCCCTACGAGAGCGTGGTCTTCAGCAGGGGTAAGAGACCGAAACACACGCACAGGCCTTAGGAGCGGTCAGATGAGGATCACTGTGGTCAGGACAGGGGGGGAGGTTGAGGTGGGGTGCCATCCCCCTGTTCAACAAAAATGACAAAAAGTCATCTTTGTTTGTAAAACTGTCTTCAATGTCGTTATGTGGTGGGGAAATTCCACCAAAATTTCAGCATAATTCAGTGTTTGATATGTAAACAGAGTCATTCAGAGTGGTTTGTTGTGAAATGGTTACTTGCCGACTTTACAGTGGTGGTGATAGGAACCAGGGGTCACCATGTCTACAACACAACCGTGGATGTTTTATTTACTATACAGATCTGACAGTGAACCTACACGTGCTTGCTGAGTTTTTATATGGACTGTTGGTGATGAAATAGTGGAAAATCTGCTGTTTTCTTTAGGGACTAAAAAAAAATATTCCTCTTCAGCATGAACGTATTTAAAAAAAACCTTTTTAAAACTATTGTTAACAGCGTCTCAGGGGTTAACAACAGTATCGGGATGAACTTAGCATAACAAATAGCAAAGGCCAACATTTTTGGGATTTTTATATCAGAATCACAGGTGCCTGTTCAGTTTAGCAACTGAAATAAGAGCTGAGGACATATAAGTAGGAAGAAAAGTTCTTAAAGTTCTGAAATTCCACAATTGTTTTCAATATTTCTGCCTAATTCAGTGTTTCAGATGTAAACAGAGTCATTCAGAGTGGTTTGGTGTGAAACGGTTCAGATGCCTTTACAGTGGTGGTGATAGGAACCAGGGGTCGCCATGACTACAACACAAATATAGACAACAGATTTCTTTGGGGACTATTTTGCCTGTTTGTATCCCTCCACCATGAATGGGTTTAAATTATAGTTTTTTTAGGCCAAAATCTTCTCAGAACTATCAGAAAACAGCGTCTCAGTCATCAAGCAATGTATTCATAACCATTTTATGTAATAACTTTCTGTGAGGGAGCTTTTAGAGGTGGACGTCTGGTTCCTATCACCACCACTGTGAACAGTTCTGACTCGGTAAGTTTCTCTAGAACACATTTCACCTCAAACCACTCTGACGTTGTTTACATCTTTTGCAGTTGGCAAAGTTCTTTAGAGCAGTGCCATAGAAGACCCACTTTCATGCTTGTAAATGAGACGTGCAAGCATGAAGATCCTTTTTAGTGTTTAAGAATCTTCCACATCATTTAAAGGTTCCATATCGAACGGATTTTTTCTGTGAACACATGTCCAAGCCAAGAACCACAACCTATGCTTTTGATGCATCATATAAAACCAATGCATTCCCATGGTCACGTAGAAATGCATGCTTTATGCTGGTGGCTTGAATCCACCATGCTCCTTGAAAATGTTCAGAGGTCAACTGCACACTGTGGTCAGGAGTTCTCCACCCCTGCTGCGTTTTGGAGATATGCACGGAAATTCTAAAGCAGTGTGCTAAAGCAGAGCTGGAGATCTATGGCTGCGTTCACATTACCAGGTTGAAGTAGCACAGATCTGAATTTTTGGCCTAATGTGACTCAGATCTGATGTTTTCAGGGCTGTGTGACACACAAATCTGATCTTTTCAAATCTGACCTGAGCCACTTTCATATGTGGTCCTAGATCGGATACGTATCCGATTTGTGACCTTAATGTGACGCTCAGATCGGAATTCATGTGCTTTTTTTACACTGAGGGTGCGCCATCATTCAGCGTTACCATGGCAGCAGCGCCGAACAGAAGTTAAAGCCTGTAAACGGTGGAAAAGCAGCTCATCTCACCTTTTTCTCCTTCGTCTCGCTCTAATAATGAAGCTGAGAGCTGATCAGAGTTAATTATCTTCTCAGCGAAGCTCGTTCTGCTCGTTAGTTTGTGCTGATGATGAACGTGATTCATTCACGTGACGTTACTGAGTAGGATGAGCTCATGAGGGTCATTTCAGGACGCCGGTTCGATCACATTAATGACAGATCGAAATCACTTACCTAAACGAGTGTGAACCATCGTGTCAGAGAGATCGGATTTGAGCAAAAAATCGGATTTGAGCAACGAGGCTTTTAATGTGAACGTAGCTTAACTTACCTTCCTGCAGGTTTCTTCTCCAACCCACGCCTGATCAAGCTAATCGAGGACTTCTGAAGGGAATTACACTGCAAAAAATGGTATGTTGTCAAGCAAAATGATCTGAAATCTACTCGAAATATCTCACATTTCCCTTTTTGAGATGGTTGTGAACTTTATTTCCAGGACTTTTTTGCTTGGTTTAGGTCATTTATTAAGTAAAATTATCTCACTATACTGGCAGATACTTTTGCTCTTTCATGCTCATTTTTAAAACAAGCACAATTATCTGCCATTATAGTGTGATACTTTTACTTGATGAATTACTTAAAACAAGTAAAAATGTCTAGAAATTAGATAAATAACCTTAAATCAAGCTTACAACAATCTCAACAGGAGAAATATTATATTTCATGACTATATTTAAGATAATTTTACTTGACAAGATACCATTTTTTTGCAGCGTATTAGCCGTGGTGGACTGGAGTTAAACGCCTAAGCCAATAGGCATGCTTGTTCCAAAATCAGGACTGCTGATTGGCTGTTTAAATTACATTCCACATGCATGTTATAAACATCTACTCTTTTTGATTCGTCTACATTCTGCTACAGTCAGTAAATCTCTACTTCTTTCAGTTCATACTCAATGCTGATTGAAGCCACATCCACCTTTGGTTTGTAATTTAGGAGAAAATTTCAAAAAAAAGCATTGAATCTAGGTATTGGTATCAATATCAATCAATACTCAGCCCTAATTAGGAGTGTTCAACTCCTGGAATCCAGTGCAGTTTGGTGATCTACCTTCTCTATCACACCTGATTCAATTCAGCAGTTATTTACCAGGTTTAGTTGGTAGGTTTGAGCAGAGAAACCACAAAACTGTGGCCTCAGGACTGGAGTTGAGCATTTCTGCTTCTCAGTTCTTAAAGCTTATGAAGATTTTCCAGCTAGAAATGTTTTGTCCTAAAGGCGTTCTGAGAATATTACACACCTGTTCTATTAATGTTTTCAGTGGGCAGTTTTTTTTTTCCCTAAAAACATCATCATGTACATAATCTGTTGCCCTGACAACATCCTTAAAACATGCTCCGAATGTCGCAGTTAAAATGTTATGTCTTGGTTAATATGTAAGCTTATAGGAACATTATTAGAAATGCTAAACATCCTTAAAACATTCTTTGATCATTAGATTAAAAGGTTTTCTTTAAACATTAGTAGAACTTGTAGGTAATGTAAGCCAAAGTTATGGGAACGCTCCCTGCTAGCTGGGATTGGGCCAAATAGCAAGTTCCAATTTGGCAACGTGGACCAAATAATAAAGCAATAAGCCACAAGAGGTCATGGGTTACTGCGACTTTGTCACAAGGAAGGGTGTTCTTAGGCCTAAAACTCCCTTCCCTGTGATAAAATCGCAGTAACGCACGTCCTCGAGTGCCTTATTGCTTTTTTAAAACATGAAATATGATAAAATACACAATTGTTCAGAAAATGACTTGAGTTACTATTAATAATAATCAACATAAACAAGTATTCCACCAGGAAATATGGTTCCTTTAAAGTATGATATTGTTACCAAGCAACCATGGACTGAATGAGGAGAAGAACTTTTGGTTGCCCATCGCTGTATATTGTGAGCATTTCATGAATTTTTAAACTTTTTCTCATATAACAATGAACATATGATAACTTTATGCTTTAAAAGTAACAAAAAGTACCAAATCACCACCATGAGTCTTATTTAGCACCAATCCAGCGGCGCCCTCCTCTCACTCTTCACTGGGGCTGAATCTCAAACGGCTCCCTGCTCCCTACATAGTGCACTACGTAGGAGTTTAAATACTGGATTCTGCAGCCCAACAGAGCAAAATACAGCTAAGAAACAGTCATTTGGGATTCAGACACATCCACACTCGATAAATGATGCACTGTTTGACTGTAGAGGCTAGAATTTCTAAACTATCATAGCTAGAACACTATTTAGGGAGTACAGAGCCGTTTTGGATTCAGCCTGGGTTTGACGCGACTTCTGACTGAAACACAAACATTTTAAGTGTGTAAGACATTCAAGTGACATTTATTAGGCATTTAAACTACTGTTTTACAGTGAATCTTAACGTAAGTGCTTTAATTCAAGCCTGTGATATTAATGATAGAGCTGTTTAGGCTGTTTGCTCTTTTAGCCTGTTAGCTAGCTGACCAGTCGAGTTCTAGTTAAGAACATAAGCCGTCAGCCCCTCAGTTTGAACAAAAACAGGTTCTTACTTCATCAGTGCACTCGGTGCTCCATGTGAGCAGCATGAGAGTGCCATTAATGGCACAAGGGTTTTTCGTGCTGTGGCTCAGCAATACAGAGTCCAGTGGCTGTGAGGCGTCATAGGTGTGGGTATATCGTGGATTTTACGTCTTGACAGCTCAGCCAATGAATTTGGCTCCCGAGTGGCGCAACTGTCTAAGCATTGGCCCTGTCATTAGGAGATCGCGAGTTCGATCCCTAGAGATGCTGCAGCCATCTGTAGCCGGGAGTCCAAGAGAGCACAATTGGCCTCGCTCTCTGGGTGGGTAAGATGGCCCCCCCCTTCTCCCCCCAGCACTCAACGCGATGCTAGTCAGCGCAGGCGTCTGTTAGCTGACGTAACAGATCTGGCGGTTGGCGCTTTCCTCCGAGCGCGTTCAGCTGTCCAGTGACGTTGCGTGAGCGGCAGTTTGAAAAGAAGCAGTGGTTGGCTTCACAGGTCTGGGAGGAAGCCTGTGTTGGCCTTCACCCTCCTAGTGTTAAAAGTATCGTGTGATTGGGGGTGTCTTGACTAGCGGGTAGAATTGGAGGCGACTAAATTGAGGAGAAAATTGGGTAAAAATGAAAAGAAAAAATAAATAAATCAATTGGGATTTGAAAAAAATCTAAATTGCCATTTTAAACAAAGACGGTGGATAAAAACAGATT